GATCATTTCCTCTCTCCTCCCCTCGGAGTGCAGTCTGTGTTTGTAGAGAGGTAGCTGGTGTGAAAAGAGCCCCCAGCATCTCTCCGCTGCCATTTGCATACTAATGGTGGATTAGCATTTCAGAGTGCAGAGGGGGGAATATAAGGGGCTGTGCTGGGTCTTGGCCATCATTCCAGCAGCATATCTTGGATAATACTCAGCTCCTCTGTACTGACCTCCTCCAGGGATATCCTCACCATGCTGCACAGTCCAGTCTTTCCAGGATTCCCAGCCCATCACCTGGCTCAGACCAGCCTCAGCATGCCTATGAGCCCTGAAGTGCAGAGGGGCCCCAAGCTCTCCTTCAACATTGACTCCATCCTCTCCAAGGCGGACAGACCAGCTCCCACCAAGATTCCAATGGACAGGAGCTGCTGGCAGGCTCCCTCTGCTCCCTATGGCTATTCCTATGGAGTCATGCCCTATCCCCCAATGTGGATCTACAAGCCTGCAACTGCCTATGGCAACCTAGTGCAGCCTCAAGTCAGAGCGCCCAGAGCCGATTGCTTATGTGCAGACCCCCTCTGCAAGGAGAAAGGTGAGCTTTTTTAACCCATAACTAGTCCGCATACAGATTTGCAATTTTCAACACTTGGGGGGACTACTACAATCCTCAGCATGTATCTGTTATGATTATTAGTTCCTTAAATGTTAGAGGTTAACTGGTGGGACTACAACTCTCAGTATCCCAGTAGGATATCCCTTATGGCTCTGTTGCAGCTATGCTTTTTACAGCGTGTACAATAGCGAAGTATTAACATTTCCTAGTCTTTGAAGCTATTTGATTTAGTGCTTTTTTTTATTTTTTTTATTTATTTTTCAATATGTTTTTATTTAGTATTATATAACGCTGTAAAAGTTTTGTTGCATTGGAGGTTATGTGTGCTCATTGCGCCCTCTTGTGTCTCTTTTAGGACTTGCATACACACACAGCCCCATCAACAATCTTTCCTGGAGGACAGGGCCATGTAAGCTGAAGAGGATCAGGACTGTGTTCACCCCTGAGCAGCTGGATAGGCTGGAGAAAGAGTTTCTGAAGCAGCAGTACATGGTCGGCACAGAGAGGGTTGACCTAGCGACTACACTCAACCTCACAGAGACCCAGGTAAGATTGGAAGCTTCTGTTCCATATCTCCAGGCTATGCATGCAAACTAGCGGGAGAGGTTACTAAATTCTTACCAAATTGGGGTCAAACTTGTGTTTTTAGGGGCCCATCTGTTGCCCTCTGGCACAATAATATCTGGGTGAGGGTCTTCTTTTCTCTTGGTAGCTTGGGCTAGGACGTCTTAGGAATAATTAAGGTCACTCCAAAAATGTTTTCTTGCACCTTTTATACTTGGCAAGCTCTTAAATGATGGTGTATGTTAGAAATGTATTAAATATTCAGAACATTATTTCTTATTTTTACAACAATCCAAAAGAAGTGTTGCTCTTTTTGAGTTTCCTTTTGGTTGGTTTATAGGCCGGTCATGGCTAACATAACCTGTAGGGTAGTACAAGTCGTTGGGAAGGCTTAACATTTAGGGGTTGCTTCACAAGAGTACACCCTTTTGACCCTTCCCAAGCTGATCAGGCCCTTCCCAAGCTGACCAGACCCACCAGTCCCATGCTGCTGAGGCCCATTCGTCTATAAAATGGTTTTGTCCATGGCTCATCATCCTGGATTGGCCTGATTTCTTTAATGCTTCCAGTTGGTGGGCATTCACTTAGAGACCTAGTGTGTAAACCACGGCACTACCCTGCAACCTGTTCTTCTTTTGGGTAGGGGTTAATTGAATTTAGATGTTGACCAACTACTTATGGTCTTCCAAGAAACCTTTTTTGTGACTGTTTTTGGTTTTGCTTTTCTTTGTGCACGTAGAACACGTTCTTAATTTTGTAATTTTGCCTTTTTTTTTTTAGGTAAAAGTCTGGTTCCAGAATCGTCGTATCAAGTGGAGGAAACAGAGCTTGGAACAGAAGAAAGCCAAGCTGTCCCAGTTTGGTGTTCTCTCCCCTGTCAGCTCCGAACACACCAACGAAAAGGAGATGGAGGAGGATGAAGTTGATGTTGAGCTCTAAGCTACATGGACTTGACAACTGTCTGAACTGTTGACCGTTAGAACTTTTTGACTGTCCAGGTTCAACTGGACGAGTAGGCCTATGAAAAGGGACCTGCAAACTACTGTGGGAGGCTATAATAGTTCTCCTTGCGCTGAAGAAAGCACTCAAAATGAAAAGATGGACATAAACGAGCCAAAAGCTTGGCGAAGCGTGCTGACAATTGCCTCTTTTATATTAGGGCCAGGACTCTTATCGCTATGGCGGTCCTGGTATATATGTGTGATAGGCCCCATCAATGTAAGGTTTCTAAACCAGGACAAAGTCTCTTTGTTGTACCCACTGAACCCAAATATGACACGGCCCAACAATTGGGTGTCTTGTTTCTGTGGACCAAAGAAGACGTGATGTTGGAAATTAGCAGAGCAATTTTGGGCTCCATGAGTCTCCAGTTCCTATAGGTTGTCCACTTGTCTTCCATGAAGTGATGATTTTTATATCTTGCTCGCACACATTCCATGTGACTTTTATTTAAGGGGATGAGGGTGCGCTTCTTCAGGACCCTCATGTTTCTTAAGTAAAAATTAAAAACAAAAAATGCCTTTTCTGTGTTGAGTCTCAAACAGATGAGGAAAATGTATATAGATGTTTTATATGTGCCTTATTTTACGACCATATGTACCGGTAACTGGGTTACTGTTTTGTAGCTTTTTACCATGCACCTGTTGCCCAAAGTATATTGAAGGGCATTTTTTTGGGGGGGACAATTGGTACAATTTAGCATTTTGTCTTTGACATATTGCAGTGCAATGTGTTTTTTTTTTTGTTCAGATTGGACGAATCCGGATTAATCAGCCTGCGACACATGTGGTTGCACTACAAGTCCCAGCATCCCACTGTTCCATCACAGACTTTTTATCTCGGTCTTACTTCTCTTTAAAAGTAATTTTTTTTTTTGTCAC